ATTTTCTAACTTTTGAGACTATATAGTCTGATAAAGAGTACATTTATATACATGTTTCAGCCATAATGATTTTACATTTGAATATGAATTCCCTTCGACTTTAAGTAATACAACAGGTTTGTTGCATATTTGCAACAATAGCCGTCAATTGGATTCCCAAGCAACCTAACTTGCTTGGTCTTCCTGTGGCGCTCAACTCTCTTATCTCCATGGCTCTGCATACACCAAACTGATGCATGGGTCTTCAACAGGATAAATGATGAAATTAAAATCTCTGTGGCATGTGAATGTTTTCACAAGTTAAAGTTTTACAAACTGATAGCCGGGCTGCTATTTGCAATGACTGCCCAAGATGGGAGGAAGAAAGCGACATAGTGTCTGCAGGTAGGTCTGGGGAAAACATATCGATATTTATCAGTTGAGTTGTAAAATATCAGTATATCAACTACAAGCCTAACTTTCAACATCATTCATCTTTATCCCTTATCTGAAATGTTATTTTGTTTTTTAAATCAAGAACACAAGCTATAATATCTAATATAAGATTTGAAAGAAAGTTTACATATGCCATTCTGTAAACATTTTGTCTTTGTTGTACAATAGTAGTTAAACCGTGCAAGCTATTAGAGAAATTCGAAACAAAGTGTATCAAAGTGCATCAAAGAGAGTAAGGGGGGATTCTTGTCTTCTTGATCCAACAACACTGAGAGGAAGACTAATCTTCAAAAGGCAGGACCAGACTCGACAGAACAGATGGCTGGACACACCAATACATGTCCACACACACCGAGACAGTGAGATATGGAAACATGCAGCATGCAAAGGAAAACACGACACACTGAGAACTACGTGCGATAAATATATAAATAAAACACTGATAATGGACAGCACAGTTGGACACACAAGATGATACAGTTAAAAACAACGGAGGCAAACCACAACAAACAAGGACTCATTTTGTCATGGAAACGCATTTTTGGAGACTGTCTCCCAGCATGCATGCTGAATCAAGTTCCAGTCCTTATCCACTTTGTGGTCAGGTTGAAAAACAACACAAAACATTGGAACAGAAGAAACAAATCAAACAGAAAGCGGAGGTTTCATAACACAGATCCAGATGGACAGATATGACGGACAAATCCACTGTGAAAAGACAAACAGATGAGAAGTGGAAGCTAAAAATGGAGTTGGAGATAACATCAGAGCACAAAACAAGCGAAGCACAACTAAACCACTCTGGTCTTGGTTTATCACCTGCCAGTTTATTGATCATATTCATTCAACTCTGCAACATTAAGCTCAGGTTTAAAGATGAAAAACTTGAGGCTTTGTGTGAAATGGAGCGATATTATATGCCTTATTATAGTTTCAGTCATGAGTAATCAACGATTAGTAGTTCTAACAAGATTCAAAGCATTTAAAACATCCAGGAGATAATGCCTGTGCAACTTCAATAAAACCAGCAATGTTTTTTTTTTTTTTTTTTATGCCACGGCCTTTAACTTGTCTCTATGGCCTTTCATCCTTAGCATCAAGTCTTAGCAAGGTCTAAAGTTTAGACGGATGAAAAAAGGTCCTCAATGTGTTAACCTTGTATAGGGAAATAATTTAATTTGAATGTAACAGTTTGAATTTAAGTAAGTCTTTGGCTCAATTTTTTCTTTGCATGTGCAATTTTCAGTTCTAGCTTCTAATTTAAAAATTCTATTTAGTGTAGATTACAAAAACTCAATCTGCCCAAGAAAATACTGCTGCAAAAACAGACTCTTGCAGACACTATCTGCAGCAAGAAATACTCTATGCAACTTCATGCTTCTGGTGTACATCCATTTATGAAGGTTTGTTTCTTTTTGGTTGTCTTTTTGATGAATTTGAAGATTTATATAAAATAGACAAACTAATTATCTGCGTCAATCTTTCTGAGTGGGCACCGTGTGAGTTTAAACCTGGATCCAGTGCCTTTTCAAAGTATAGAACTTTTTGCCAACTTGTAATGTTATAATCACAAATCTATCTTTAAACTGAGATTGTTTAGTGTTAGACCAACACAAAGCAGCATGTGGCTTTTAACACCAGCACTCCCAGAATTCTGAATTCTTCTAGAACTCCCATTGCCAATCAATCTGATGGGTGGCATTTTCCCCAGGGAATGCATGAGTAGTGATCATGTCATCAACCAAAATGGTTCTAGTGTGCCATATAAACCCATTGTGGATATGTAGACCTTAAAACTTATAAGGCTGTATTATATCGTTATCTGTAGTCTAAATTTGTATTAAAAATTAATCATAATAAATAAGCCTATTTTATATATATAGCCTTTTGTATATATATATATAGCCTATTAATGTAAATGAAGTTCTTTCACTTCAAAATCTCAGAACCGTTAAACAGACTGCCTTGGGAGTGCTAGTGTTAAGTTGAAGTGATGAACATTTGTATAAGGCATGCATTTGTCTTAATTCATCATGTTGTGATATACAAATTAAAATAGTTTTACCACATTTCCTTGAAGTTAATTTACCAAAGTTCATCTGTGGCTTATTTACTCTCAGTATTACAAGAAAACTCTCTTTTGTGAAGGCCTTGGAGGATTGTTAGTTAATTTGAAAAAACTGACATGTTAACCAGAGAAGCAGCCCAGAGGCCTGTGGTAACCCTGGGGGCGCTGCAGACAATTAGTTTTAGGAGAATATGTTAAGAAAACCAATTATACTGGTGTACTTCAAAACACTGTCTTTATATGAAAGATAAAAAGTCATAATTAAAAGTAATATAAGACATTTAGTTTGCTACAAACCATGTAAAGAACACAAATAATAAAGTTAATTGTGTATTTTGAATGTTGAATTCCCCCCTTTTAATATTTCATCTTTTTAAACAGTTAAAGTAATATTGCATTTCTCTTTATCTTTAAATTCAATTTCCACTGGTTATCCTGCAATTTTTAAAATAATGATCCAACCACTAATACTCTCATTTTAATCATGAATAATACCATTGCTTTATAAAATGGGAATTTATAACAGTTGCTGTTTTACATGCAGTATATAAAAGAGCTTAAGTTAATAAGCTTCTAATTTATTTACATTACTTTATAAAGGGCAGAAAAATGATAAACAACAGTTGTACAATAAAAAGCTACTTAGAATCTAATTCCAACTATTTGTTCCAAATGTTGCTTTTTATACAAAAAAGTAATAAATCCTTTCTGCTTTGGCTTTTATTGATCTAATATCTTTCATTACTTACTCCACCATATGTCTAGTATAACAACTTTTATTGCTTTTAATGTTTTGAAAAACATATCATGTGATGATAGAAAAGGTTGAATAGGTCTAATGTTACCGTATATAATGAAAGTGCATGTTTTTCAAGGTTATCCTAAACTAAAACTAACCAAATAATAAAAACTAGAATTAAAAAACATTTTAATTAACTGCAATAAACACTAGACCTTGCAGAGACACGGAAAATAACTGTAGTAATCTGTAATAAGAGTTTTCTAAACTAATTAAAATTAACAAAATTTTTAGAGAGAAGGTGCTTAGGTCCTTGTTCATTAAAGTCTTTTTTTGGTTTATTTTTGCTGTACTGCATTACGGCAGCAGATTGTAGGTATGGTAGAACTGAAAATCAGAAGGCAAAAAAAAGAGGAACATTTCAAAACTATTCAAACCTTGATGTTTACAGACAATATATAAAAATTAAGTATAAGGAAAAACTGAAGTATGCCACTCTGCTTTTTCACGTTATGCTAATCTTAATTAGTATAATTACTTAAATCTGATTATAATCCGAATGTAATCAAATGGTTCTAATCTTGTCAACGTTAATGAAGTCATTCCTCTTAAAGGTTAACTCCACACCCTTCCAACTCTTCCAGGGTAACAGAACTAAACCGAGGTTAGAGAGGGGGTTGCAAAGTTTCAAATAATTTTTTTTACAGTTTAAACTTGCCAGAGAAAATGCTGCAGTGATTTTCTCCAGCTGAATAAGGCAAAGAATAATGCAATCTGCTTTCCCCCCACCTGTTGCTGTGCACTGCCAGTCAGCTTTCTGAAATAACACTGTTTGCAATAACATAGCTTTGCTTGCTGGATGTAAAACTTGATAAGACACTGTATTTTTATTTTTTTTTTAAGGTGAGCCTTTTTCAAAATCACACGTGGAAAGACTGTTATGCAGCACACTGCAGGCTGGCTATCTGCGCTAATGGTCTGACCTAATTAACCAGCAAATATGTTCATCATTTAACAATAACTGTCTATGCATAATATTATCTACCATCTACTTCAGGTCAGCAGTCATGAAATGCTTTATTAATCTTTTGTACATTGTGTACCTTAAAGTATGTAGCCTTACATTTATAACAGCAATGACAGAAAATGTATGACCGAATAGAAAACACTGGATAGGGCTGGAAAAAAGAAACCCATGGTCTCTATGGATTCTGATGCATTATGAAGGTTCAAAATGTATTGCATAGAGCAGTCTTTTGCAGTTCTGATATAACACACCCAGATATTACAAAGTTGGTGCAATTAATCATTCTTCCACATCTATATTTTATTGCTTTTAAATCAAGACCAAGTCGGACAGTTTTAGATTGAGGTCACAGTCGTCAGATCTTGTTTCAAATTGATTTGTTCAAGAGCACAGCTCCTACTTTTAACTGCCTCACATAAATAAACTCTCTACTGTCCTCAAAATTTTTCCACCGACAGCTGAACTCTTAACTCTCATGTTTTCTCTGCACTTTGCCTGCTGAGCCCTGATCAATGTTAGAAAAGAAGCTGCATAAGGTTGAACTTCTTGGTTTGAATGTCCTCACTAACTGGTCATGCAAGAGGAGAGTGGACAGTTCCTGCAGCACAGGGTTAACGAAGGCAGGATGTATTTTAATTAAGCACAAATAAGAGGCTACCTTTTAGCAAAAAAAGCTACAAGAGTTCAGGAAATGCTGCACAGAAATACACCCACACAGACATAAACTTTACCAAGCTCTTTAAGCAGGGATCCGTTCTCCGACTTCCATCTCTCCTTTTTCTTGCCAGCACTAAGCTTCCTTCTCTCTTTCTTTTTATTCTTCACTCCATTTTGTTTCTTCTTTTCTGGTTTCTGGGTTTTCTCTGCAGAGAGACAGAAAAAAAAGGCTCAGGTTAGGAATTTAGCTGATTTACTCAGTTTAAGGTAGATTAAGCTGGAAACCAACATAGGGCCTTGGGAACCAAATTGTTATACATTCAAAATACAGTATAAAAAGGTGAACATTTGTAGGATTTTTTTTTACATTTTTTAATTGAAAATGAAATCCTTTGATTTTTACCCCCTAAAATATGTCAGTGTATAATTCCGTAAAGCTTTGCCTAAGTTAAATCTGGGAGAACTAACATCAAAAAGACTGAGTTACTACTGAATGTCAGCCTTTAGGTCCATACAGCTGTATTTTTCTACTGAGCACTTATCACTTTCACATGATTTTTATTTCTCATAGTAAGGGGTAGCTAGCCTATCCTGACGCTAGCTTAGCATAGCTATGGCTTCGCTCTCTCCTTCCCCTGACTCTTTTCTCTTTCTAAACCTTCATCTCCTTTCTCCCGCTCTCTGTGTCAGATGTTCAGTTATTCCTCTGCCTCATTTAGTGATGATGCCATGTGTAGTAAATGTAGTATTTTTGTAGCTTTGGAGGCGAGGGTGTCAGAGTTAGAATCCCGGCTTTGGGCTGTTGAACATAGAGGAATTAGAGTAGGCCCCTCCTTTTTAACTGCCTGGAGCCACCATGACCAGTAGGGTTGGGAATTGAAAAGATTTTCACGATTCCGATTCCCTTTTCGATTCTATGAAACGATTCGATTCTTTATCGCTTCTTTTTTCGATTCCAATTTGGGGGAAAAAGGAGAACAAACAGTTTGATTATCAGAATCAACTTTGTTTACTTAACTATTGCACAATCTTACAAAATCAACAAGATCAAGATGTCCACAGGAAATGTGAAACTGGAGTAACATCTGTGTTTAAATGAAAAATGAATACAAGAACAAACTTAATAACAAACAATGTCTAATAACAAATGATGGGATTATAACCTATTTTAAATAACAAAAAGTACTAATTATAAAACAGTAGTAGGGAAAATTAACAGTTCTTTTGCAGAAAGATGAGCATATCTGCTTTTTCTGGAAGGATATGGGATCTTTCAGGGCTTAAGGTGTCTCCAGCCGTGGATAACACCCTCTCAGATGGGGTGGAGAAAGCCTGCACACAGAGGTAGTTTTCAGCCAGTCCAGATAGCAAGGGCAGCGTATCTTGCTTGTTCCACCACCACAGTGTGGCGCTATCCCTGCAGGGGATGGAGGGCAAGCTTTTACAGAGCTGGATTTCCTGATCTACCCTCTGGGCTAAGGAAAGACGGGGCTTTGATTCACAAAGTGACCGCAGCTCGTTGTCTTCCTCCTCGAATAGTTCTTCCAACTTGCGTAACTTGCGTAAGTTGCGTAAGTTGCGTAACGTACGTAAAAAACGTGACGTAAGTCGTGCTCCCCAGAGCCGGCGCGCTAGGCTCTGTTGCTGTGGGAATCGAAAAAAGAATCGTTCAGCCAGCTGCCAAACGATGCCATGGAATCGAAAAATACGGAACCGGTTCTTAACAGGAACCGGTTTTCGATTCCCATCCCTAATGACCAGGGACACCTCCATGTAGTGTTCCTGCAACAGTGCCTGAGCAGCCAGGCGATTGGGTAACGGTACGCAGAAAGCGTAGTTGTTGATCTCAGCCCACTGGTCACCCCTAACCCGTCCACGTTTCTAATTGATTTTCCTCGTTCAGTGACGCACCCACTGGGAAGCACACTCTGGTAATTGGCAGCTCCATAGTCAGAAACGTGACATTAGAGACACCAGTGACCATGGTCAAATGTTTGCCAGGGGCCAGAACGGGCGACATCAAATCCTACCTGAAACTGCTGGCTAAGGATAAGGTTACATACAGCTAGATTGGTATTCACGCTGGCAGTAATGACAGCCGGTAACGCCAATCGGTCACTAAATTTAGTGATGCTTTGGTGTGTAAGTTGTGTAAACAATGTCAGACTCTGTAACTTTCTCTGGTCCCCTCCCTGATCTGACCAGTGATGACATGTTTAGCCGCATGTCATCATTCAACCTCTGGTTGTCTAGGTGGTGTCCTGAAAACAACATGGGCTACATTAATAATTGGCAATCCTTTTGGGGAAAGCCTGGTCTGATTCGGAGAGACGGCATCAATCCCACTTTAGATGGTGCAGCTCTGCTTTCTATGAATCTGGACAAATTTATTAGTCCACTAAAACACTGACCACCCAGGGCGCAAACCAGGAAGCAGAGACATAGTTTAGATTTGGACTTAGACAACTTTTATTGTTATTTTGTATACAAATAGTGTATACAAAATGAAATTATGTTTTGTGAAGCTTTCCGAACATTTCCATTCCTTAAACTGCACCAGTGATCAAATGTAAACAGAGTTGGAGAATAAAACAAGATGCAAAAAATGCATTGATATGGAAGTTCAGAACATTAAATATGTATGGTGCAAATATGCAGTATTTTTGTTTGGTGTTGTCAGTGTGGTGCGGAAGCTCCAGAGCTACACCTCTCTATAGCCGCTCTACTGTTACCCACTCATTACTCCATCCAGAGATCCATCTTGCCCAAGATCAAAATTCTAATAAATTAGAATAGATTCCCAAAGGAGTAAATCATGATAACCCTAATTAGAATAAAAATAACTCCAACTGGGGAAAAAGTTTAAACTATTACATTTGTTTTTTTCAACATAAGATATATTTCTACTTGATTTATGTTGCCTTACAGAAACTTTGCTGCAGCAAGAGAAGTATGTGAGCATAAATGACGCTACTCCTTCTAGTTATTTAAATGTTCACATACCCAGAAATTCTGGGCAAAGAGGAGAAGTAGCAGCAATATTTCAGTCTGACTTACTGATTACTACAAAGGCAGGTAATAAAAAAACCTAACTTTTTTTAAACATTTAACTATTAGTTTTCCTCATCCAAATTGCAAAGCCAGCCTTTTTGTAACTTTGTATCATCCACCAGGTCCTTACTTGGGATTTTTAAATGAGTTTTCAGAATTCCTATCGATTTGTTGTTTAATACTGACAGGGTCATCTTAGTGGGTGATTTTAAAACCATGCTGATTGAAGGTGATAGCTTTAATGTGGTCTTTAATGCTATCTTAGGCTCGATTGGCTTTGTTAGAAGTGTCTGTTTTTTTAGTGTAGTCCTGTTTCTCTGACTGTGACTAACTGTATGTGCTTTCTTTCATCCCCTGACATGGGACCTGGCTCGGTGCCGTCTGTGTGTTTCCTAGACACCTGTTTAGCTGGTTTACAGTTGCCTTTTGTATCTCTGCTTCTTTCTGCATGTCTGCTTCCATTTCCTTGAACTCCAGTCGGCCTCGGCAGATGACTGCTCACACTGAGCCTGGTTGTGCCGGCGGTTTCTTCCTGTTAAAAGGGAGTTTTTCCTCTCCACTGCCGCTACAAGCATGCTTGGTGTGAGAGATTGCTGTCAAGTCAATGAGTTGATGCAATCAGCTGGTTTTCCTTAGATAGAAAACTTTGAACGAATCTGACTGTATGACAGTTTGAACTTTCTCTGTAAAAGGCCTTCAGATGACATGTGTTGTGAATTGGCGATACATAGATAAATTAAATTGGAATTAATTGAATTGAATGATATATCGAGTCCTATCGAGTGAAAATTAGCCCTCAACTGTCCCTCATTTTAGGACATTTCAAGCATGTGCTGCAGCTGCTGGCTTGAACCCTGATGTGATATGGTGACAACAGTACTTTAGTCATAGTTGCAACTGTCATATCTAATATATGTCCTGCATAGCTGTGCAAAAAGCCGTGCAGAAAATATGTATATAAAACTGTACACACATTTTTATGTTACAAATCAAAAAAAGATCATAGGTCTTTCTGATTCAATTTGAAAAAAGAAAACAGTCCTATATTTGCTCTCTTGTACTATGCAGCTAAACTCAAGTAAAGCTGATAAAAATGATCGTCTTCATTTTGCCTGATAATTACACTGACTATAAAACATTATAAACGGGTGATAAATCTTTCTTACAAGTTCCCTGCTATGTGACAAGTTATTCATATTTGTTCTGTGCAGCGGAGTGCCAACTGTAAAGTTAATTTATTTGGAATAAGTAAATTATTAACAGGAAGCAAATACATTTTCTTTCAGGTAAAAAAATATCTTTACAGCACTTTTTAAAGCCATGAATTAGTAATACAAGCGAAAGAGCAATAACTGGCTATTGTTGAGCTCTACATGTAACAGATAACCACAAACAGATGCACTCCAAGACGATATGTTTGCAGCCTCAGCATGCAGGGAAACAATGCGGAAACATGCCGTCACACTCCATTGAGCCTCCCTCACACAGCACAGCGATGATTTCTCTCCCCACCAAGTTCTCCCATACTGAAGGCCCTTATTGTTGAGATGTCTTGTTGCAACGTGCTCCCGCTGTTTACACAAACAAAAGTCCTGACTACATAGTTCACCGACTCCCCTACCACAGCGAACATAGACTGTATTTGAGTGTGTTTGCTTGTTACTATGCTGGAGGTCTGGGATGCAGGTTTGTAGCAGCTTTGATAGTTTTTTTCTGAGCAAATGGGAAAACACTTTTTCCCTTCTTACATTTTCTAAAAGGTGAAAATTAAAGTTACTGTTAATACTTGCATTGGTTTATATATGGGGTTACATCTGAGCCTCACACCTTGATTTTAGTATTTAACCCATTAAACCCAAAATCATTTTGCAAATTTTGAGTAATAATTTCAAACTTAGGTTCAACTGCTACCCGTGTTCTCACAAGAACTAAGAAAGTAAATCACATCAGCCCTGTTCTGAGATCCTTCCACTGGCCCATTATAGCTCAGAGAATAGACATAAAAATCCTTCTGTTTGTCTATAAATCACTGAACCAATGAGGTCTTGAAGCAGCATTTAGTTCCTATGCTCCACTTATCTGGAACAAACTCCCAGAAGACTGTAAAAGTGCTGCAAACCTGAGTTCTTTAAGTCAATGTTAAAGTCATAGGGAA